CAGTCACATGAAACCAAACATGACAAGTTCATTGGAAACAGGGAGACTTGGATTGAGTAGGTAAACTGAGTTGACTACTTGAGTAGTTTCTTCAATGCATCTTCCGCACGTTTCTCCATTTTAGGAAGGGCCCAGTCGTGTTGAATGATGTCAATGCCATCCTTCTCTGCACTCAAGCTCTGCAAGAAAAAAAAGTAGTTTTATTGTTGTTGGGTTTAAAGCTTTCAATCACCACAAATATTTCGAAAGAGGAATAAGGACTACAAAATTTGTGCCAGATAAACCCGGAACGCCGATAGTTTTTGATGCAAAGTCATGGTAAAAATCTCATTAAAGTTGGATACCCAAATTCCACAGAAAGTGGAACCAATTTGTGGATATTATAAAAAATCATGTACTTCTCAGATGCAGTCTTCTATAGAAGGAGACTGAGGTAATTCACAAAGCTTTTCTGGAGTTCATAAAGACGCGCATTAAGCTAAATTTGGCTTCTGCTTCTGTATTGCACTCTCACCAAACCAATGCATATTGCCACTTTGCAATAGGATTCAATCATTAAATTTAGGATAAAGTATCTTTCTGGTAAGTGATGTATGATATTGCTGTAGATACAGCTCAATGACAGGAAAGGATCTTATAGTCAACCTCAAATAGTTGAGACATTATGGACTGACTGTTACTGTTGTTGTCGTGTCCTGTATTTCATTTGCTGGCTGCAATTCTCCAGTCTCCACTTCCATAAATCCTTCCTTCTGTTTGTTTCTTCTTATCAATTTGCTGTAAAGTTCAAGAATCTTTATTCTTTGTCTACAGTTTCAGAATTATGCATCATTGCTGGAATATCAGAATCATGATAATTCCATCAAAGCAATCCCAGTTGATCTAATTCCATTTGATGCCTAATTCCAAAACAAAACCTACAAAAAGCCAAGTGATACACCTTAGGTGAACTTCTACAGCTAAGGCAACATCCAAGTTACTAATCAGAGAGGGAGACAGGTTAAAATAGCAGAAACAGCCTTTTCAGCATGGAGAGAGGGAAGCACGCATCCTTCCTAAGACCCTATGGTGGTGGGCGCTTAGTGCACATTAAGCTGGATCATGTCGAACTAACCATAGTACACAATCAGACACACATCACCTGTGCATCAAAAAGTTGCAAATCATGCTGATGACGACTGGCTTGGATAATCACATTGAGTCCCTTTTCAAGGGGAAGCTGGCTTGAATCCCCTTTGCATCTATTTCCTCCCACCCTTGGTGATACATGACTACCCCATGTAGGACCCTAAATGTGCCATGTGTGTGGTGCACAAAAAAGAGAAGGTTGCGAATCATTACATGCAAGTTCAAAACAGCTCCCACCAGTAATAATGCGCATAATATGTTTTGATATGATGTGTAGATTAATAAGGATCTACCAAGTCATCATCTAATACCGTACAGGAATTTTAAAACACGTCTATTATCATTGTCATGTAACTGTTCTATAGTAAAAAAAAGCACCACATAAAATAATTGAAACTATTTGGTGTCAGATCAGCGATATGACATGCACTACAGAAGTGCAAGAAATGCTCTGCCTCACAAAGAAAATAAATTGTTCTGGTAACCCCTGAGGTTCCTAGTGTAAAACAAGTGCTCTGAATGATGTTCACATCATTAAAAACCATACAGTATGGACACACACAAGTGTCACGGTGTAGGTACAAAAGATATGTATCAAAGCAAGATCTGGTTAGAATTCTATCTTTTTTATTACTTTGTTTGTTTGCACCTGCTGAATTCATTAGATGACTTCTATAAGAAAAAAAGTGTCTGCTGCTATTTGATTTTTGTGGCATCTTATGTATACTATTTGGTCTCTATGACACCTTGTTTATATGCTATGTAAAAAAGGAATACACAAACAAATTATAATCATAAAAAATGTACTTAAATGCAAATAAAATATGCATTTGAAGTTATGAGCAATTACCCTAGATGGGTCGAAACCAAATCCACTCATTTGCATCATCCGCTGAGTGTCATCCATGGCTGAATACACAAGACACAATGTTGCCCCAAACATAAACAAAAAAAAAGCAAAACAAAATGCCTTGTCTTAGAAGATGCAAAAGTTGAACAAAACTGTGACTTTATATACTGACCATTCTCTTCGCCAAGAATAAGACTGAATAAACCCCTTAATCCAAACAAATTAAGAAAGTACCTGTCCAAAACGAAATAGATTCATAAGCAATGCTTGAGTAGGAAATGATACCAGGGCTAAAGTCATCAAAGAATGTCACAGAAAAAATATTGTTGAAACAATTCAGACCAGGAACGACTGCTGACATAGCTCACATCAACCGTGCTTAGATCGATCCCATTCTGCAGCATTCCCCTGAATCTCTGGGTCAAGGGAAATGGTATTTTTGCTGTAAATAGGAATGCACAAATTAGGAACTGTATCAACTGGATAAGGATAATTCATAAGACAGAATAGTAGTCATGTGAAGATATTGGATGATTTTTAAAACATCACACTAACCAATATAATTGCAATTGACAAAAACAAGGCATATGGCAAGACCAAATAGGCAGTGAGAATGGATGTAAACTGCATATCATGTGAATCCTACAAGAAGCTTGAGAATAAAATCCTACAAGAAACTTGACAAGCAGTCGAATAATTCTGTCAACTCGCCGGTGGAGTCTTCTCAACTATAAGTCTTGCTCTTTGGTCATTCTTATGATGATCAAAATGATTCTGTAAGGATACCATAGCCTTGTCAGATTTTTAGTTTCCTATTTTAGTTATCTTTCGCATTTAACATTTCAGGTCACTGAACAATGAGCCATGAAGGTTGTTAGGAAAGTAATGTTTAAACAAAAATAACACTGATGTGTTTGTGCAACGTAAAGAGATAATGAAAAGAGCTTACTACTGATGCTATGAACACAGGAAGAAACTTTCAAGTCAGCCCCATAAATGACATATGGTAAACACAAAACTTACATCAGACAGTAATGAAATATAACATACCTGCTACAAAACCAGAGAAGAAAAAATTCACCCATGCAAAGGTAAGTGTCTGGCAAAGAAAAAGATAACTTTGATGAAAAGAAAATGGAAGGAAATAATAAGCCTTACGAAAGGAGGGCTGACAAATAAGTCAACAGTATGTAGTGCAGTACCTGAGGTATGATCATCGATAGGTTCTTCTTCATCATATCCATAGCTAAGTTTGGGTCTGAAAACATCTGTGCTTGTGCATTTTGAGACTGCCCCTTGGGAACATGCAGCAAGCCATTCTCCTGCAGCTCCAAATTCTCATCATCCATACACAATTAATGATGTTCTAAGACCTTGTGTGACCCAGACTATTGCTAAAAACAAAACCAATATAATTAAACAGACATTGTTTCTGAGGAATGGCTGCTGCTAAGCACAAAAAGATAACTTTTTTGTGGGTTTAACCAGGAGAAGATATATAACAGTGCTTACACCTAATTGCACAAATCTCAATGCAAAGTTCTTGTGAATTTTCTACCTAGATATTCTTGTGGTGAATCGGATGTGAAACACGAAACATACTGACTCAATAGATCATAAACGCGATAACATCTAACAGCGAAAGAAGTAACCTCGTTGGTGAAATAAGTTTTCCGAGACCGAAAAGACTTGGCCGGGATGAATCCAGATGCAGCCCTCAAGTTCCTCGCTCTGAGAATTACCTGCCTGGGAAACAGATCCAGGGAGGCCAAATCAACGTCTAAAAGAAGAACCAACTTTGAGAAGGGAACGTGATCGTGATGGGTAAAGGAAGAAGAAACGGACCCTTCCTTGACGACCTTGAGGTCGGGGGCCTGGTGAGATCGCATGAGCTTGGAGACGAAGTAGCGGAGGACGCCGATCAACACCATCACTACCGAGAGAGGGACGAGGACCCAATCCCTTATGGCCGTGTCAAGAACAAGATCCTCCGCCATGGACGCCGCGGCACCACCAAAGCAAAGACCCTTCTGCGAGAGAAAGAACAGAAGCGGACGGATCTGAAGGCGTTGCCACCTCTTCGTTCCCTTCGAAGGGAGAAAGGGGGAGAGAAACTCGACTCCACGGGAAAGGAAATCCAGCCGTCCACAGGTACGGATTACCTGCACAAATCTCAAAGTAGTGAACGCAAACCTTGCTCCGAATGGATCTTCGGTACATACACGTATCTCAAAGGCATTCGAAGCAGCAACGTGCTGATCACGTGGCATAACGTATTTTTCGTTATTAGTTTTACATATCTATCCTAACAAAATTAAGAAAATAACACGTTTGCACTTATAGAATTTTATTATAGTATTGATCTTCCATATGCATCCCTCCTGTTAACACCATCTAATTTTAGTTCAATATATAAAAATATATAACCTTAAATACACCTTCAATATTTTTTCAATCAATAAAGTTTAACATGTTAGTAGCATAATTTTTGTTTATATATATATATATATTTTAATTATCTTGTTCATTGGTAACAAAATATATTTTTTATGTATTGATAAAAAAATATTTTATTTTTAGAAAGAAACTATTTCACTGATATGAGTCACAAGTATTTTGACATATTTATACCTAATGATTTTTCACAAAATAATGACAAAGCATATAACTTATGCAAATCTTTTCATTTTTCAATTCGATATGAGCTATTTATTCTTAGAGCCATTTATTCAATCTAGATATTATTACAACACCTCTGACAAAGGTATAAATAATCAATTTTGAATATATATATATATATATATATATATATATTCCGTTTAGAACAAGAGATATAGATCCTAAATGAATTTCTCAAGTTAGATTGGATACTTCAACGATGTATTCAAGATAGCATGTAAGATTGGATATACAATTAAAAGAAATCAATGGAAAATGGATAAACAATAGAGAAAGAAACCCTGAAGAAAATATAAGCACTGCAAGTTGAATTAATCCTTTTGGGGGTGGGAATGGCTATAAGTGATTCCTTCTCATCTTAGTTTTCTTAGATCAGCTCGTATGTCCTTTACTTAGTAAGTCACTTCAGATATAGCATACAATTTAATGCCGAAATTTCTCGCTATTTCCCAGGTTGGCTATCTACTTTCCTTTTTCCTTTCTGTTGCTCAGCAGCAGCATTGCATATGCTACAGACATACATACACCAATGTGATTTCTGCTACTATATGTCTTAACCTCATTCTATCGATGCTTGCTTGCAGTGATTAAGACAAGTAACCACTACCACAGAGAAAGCAAAGTATTGTCCTCGAGAAGAGGAACAAGTGCAAGGTTAGCAATGGAGCTGGAGACAGGTGAGACACCATTCAACCAAGCATCAGAGCAGCTCACCAACATAGCCTCTAGTTTGACACCCTGAAGCTACCACCATCGATCTCCGCCAATAAATGCCAAGTCCAACCCACCCTTTAGCTTCCATGATCCCCTGGCAGATCAGCACTGCATCAGATAGCAGAACCAAAATGGCCAAGACTTCGAGGTTGTGCTCTCTCCTCCTGAGGCTTCTAGCTGCAGCGGCCACCCTCTGCGCGACGGTGGTTATGGCGACGAGCCGTGACTCCACCACCATCTTTGGCTTAACCCTGGATGCCAAGTTCCAATACACTCCTTCCTTCGAGTAAGCAGCACACTACTAAGTCTTCCGGTTCTACCACCACCGAGAGAGAAACCTAACTACAAACTGCGTGCAGGTTCTTTGTGGTTGCGAACGCTGTCGGCTGCGGCTACACCCTCCTCGTGCTCTTCGTACCTCCGACGACCTCGCTGTCGAGGTTGGTCATCGTGTTCGATGTGGTAAGGCCATGGAATGTCGTGATCGTGTTTGAGATCTTGCAACTGGTATGTGACCGATATGGTTGTACTGTAGACGGTAGCGATGTTGCTGACGGCGGCCACAGCGGCGGCCGGGGCCATGGCGCAGGTGGGGAAGAAGGGGAACTCGCACGCCGGATGGATGCCCATCTGTGGCCAGGTTCCAAGCTTCTGTGATCATGTCACGGGAGCTCTCATATGTGCCTTCGTTGGTGTAATCGCCTACTTCTTGATCGTGCTCCACACGATCTACACATTGTTGAGCCCTCTATTTCCATGACCATCATAGATGCATGAGTTACCATGTAAGAAATCTGTGTCCATCTACGGTGGTATTCTTCCCGCAATCCTATAGTCATTATCTTCATCAACACCGCCAGTATAATCATCATTATTAATTTAACCGGTTTGACATTTTCATGTGGTAGATGGCCTCGCCATCCTATCATTGGATGACTATGTTTGACTTTCTAATATTAGTTATTATTAGATGCCACCGGCCATGATGAGTTTGATGAGCTACCTCTAAGTTGTCATGTGTATATATCAATAAACATTACATATGATGCAAAATTTACCTAAGAATTAGATAAAATTGAGGCTTCACTTCTTTATATCTATTGTTGTTTATGATTTATGAAGATTTATTATTTTACTTTAATATGAAAAAAGATGATCCATTTAAAAAAATATATAAATAAAAATATTCAAGAAACGAATGGAAATAATAAAAAACTTTATTTTGAATAGCTTAAGAAAAAAAGAATCTATGTAGCATAAATAAAATGTCAACTAGTTTAAGAAGCAAAAACTTTAATGAGGTCCTGAGCTTGAATCCTGTCTTCACCATTTACCTTTCAAACTAAAAAATAAAATTATATCAAACTTTGCAAGAACTTCTTTGTAGACAGTTAATTACTCAAGAATATTTAAAAAATCAAAGAATTAAAATGCCAGAAAGTTCTGTAACAGGGATCTACTAAGCTGTCCGATCTATATAATATGATTTAAGCATATTAGTCATTTGCATCTGAGAATTTACTGCCTGAATAGTAACCTAATTTTCCAATGACAGCTCCAATTTGGAATTTCACAATTTAAGATGTTTTACAATCAGTTATCCTAACACAGAAAGGTATATTCATGGGACAGGAATGCTACCTTTTTAGTAGTGATAAATGTGATTGCTATACATATGAGCCGTCATATTCAAGCTCTGAAGAATAGCTTCTCCCCGCCTGTTGAATGTGAATACAGAAATTCCACCATTGTTCACGTCAACGGCACGAAACCTACACCATCAGCATGATTGCATAATAAGTTAGCATAAGTTGAAAAGTTTACCAACTCAAAAATTTCATAATCCACTATCTATCAGAGAAGCAGCAAATGAAAAGAAACGTAATATACTTTGATGAGATACTGACAAAACTTGCTGTATAACTATGAATCATATCCGACCACACAATTCTGAACACCATACATTCTTTCATGAAAACAAGAGAGAGAATCTTGCCTCTCTGGACTGAGTCCCAGAGCTGTGCAAATAAGCGCCCGCAAAATCGATTTATGGGTGATAACCAGAAAGCTCTCACCCTGATGCAAAAGAAACTGTTATCATGAATGGTGGAAACATGCCTACAATTGATCGTTCACATACATTACGTACAGGTGAAGACAAAATCTCCCTCCAGGCCTCTCTTGCTGTACCCCATAATTTGCGGACAGGATAAATTCCATCAACATTAAAATTAGCTGGATCTTCTCTCCAAGTGGTATACAACTCTGGGTACTTCATTTTAGCATCCGCTGCCTCCAAAAGTTAAAAATTATTATGTACACGAGTTCTCATAGTCTAGAAAGAACAGACACACACGCAGTTCACTTACCATTTGTCATACCCTCAAGAAAAAACAGGTGTGCCTCTTTTAAAGAATGAAGAAAAACCAATGGTTTGTCCCTTCCATGCCAAATAAGTTCAGCAGTAGACTGTATGGAACACAGATAGCAGAAAATAAATCAAGAGTTTCAGTCCATCTAAAACCAAATTAACTTTTGGAAGGTAAACAAACAAATAAATAAAAGTTGCAGATTTCCAAGTAGCAGTTAAAACCTTTGCACGTGAAATAGGGCTAGAGAAGCAAATGTCAAAACTTATGTCAGTTAATGCGTCGCGACATTTCTCTGCTTGCCCGACTCCTATATCTGTAAGAATGGACAAGTTTGAGCTACCCTGAGAAAAAAAAGAACATGAGTGTTTTAGCTACAGATCTCAAAAAAGCATCTTAAAATAAGAACTAAACAATGACCATTAAAAAAGACTAGGTATTTAACATAGATTGCAAGTAATTTGGAAGTACTAATGCTAAGACAGCACAATGAAGCCCATAAAATTGGGTATAGATAGAAATCAACAGATGTGCATAACTTGTCCAATTTAAATGGAAACATATAAGAAATATCAACAGAAGGTACACTTGTAGAGTATAGAAATCTACAGATGATATGTTTCTACAGATAATTTCAAGCAAAAAGTATGTTCAGTAAGAGTGTTTAAAAGCTACAGCCAAATAGAATTATTTCTCACCAAGAGGAAGCTTGGGGAATTGCCAAGTTATAGATAATGAGACATTGACTGTTGTGTTGCATTTACACATCAGGAAACAAAAGAAAAAGGTGAGGGTTATTGAGTTTCCACATGAATATTGATGGCTAGTCAGAGTAAAAGAGTGACAAAAATCCTTGGAGGATTTAGAGACATGATGGTGATGAGTTGAAGTTCAAAAAGCAATTACAACATAAATGACATATTGCAAAACCAAATTCCATAAAAATGTGAAAAAATTCATGAAGATTTAAATAAGCTTTTTTTCTTTTTAATTTCTCCCTTATAGATCTGGTTTCCTTGCTCCAGCTTCTTGATTGAAGGTCATGTTAGTTTTGTTACTCAATAGGTGCAGTTCACTTATCATCATCACACTTAAACCATGAGGAGGAGTTCATTTAAGTATTTCACACATGTATGACAATAGATGATTTTATCTTTCAACCGTTGCCCAAAACAGTCAACATTTCAAACCACAAAAGTGCAAATTCAATAGAAAATCAGCAACTTAGAGTAATTCAGACTGCAGATTTATTAGGTTTACACACCTGGACCCTATTTTCATTGTTCCACGAGCTCAAACCATGCCTTACTAGAGTCACCTTTTTCGGAGACGACAATCTCTCATTAGTTAGTGATGTTGTAGCTCCCTTAAAATCATATGCACCTCCAGTCATCGGAACTTGACTTTCGAGTTGGTCAATAGATACATTACTTGATGGATTTTGGACATGTGCTATGAGATTTTCTAGTTTGCCTGCATCATTTTAGCATGTAAGGATAAATCATATATTCTCAGACAGAAAGAATAAAAGTAAATTATAAATTTAAGATGAACCAAACTTGGAATATAAGACTATCGATCCATATTAAGAAGATAAAAGATAAAATCTACCACTTCCAAGGGGTCGAATAAAAGTTAAATTGAAATGCACTCAGCAGACTAATGGATATGTAAATGAAAAAAATAGGACCTTGGCATCAGAAAACAACAAAGTAAGAAAGCAAGTTATCTTTAAAGGTCTGGACAGTTTGCATAACACACCTTAATATGTAGATGTAAAATGTCCTAATCAAGATTAAGACAGGTAGGTGATCATTTCCTACATCTGAGACAATTTTTGTCCAAAGAGAACAGGAAATTTTCATCCAAAGACAACTAGATTGAAGGCCAAGGAGGCCAGCATAAAAAGGACCCTCAAAACGAATTGCTATTCTGTACAGGATAACCATAGCCTTCCCCATCTTTCTACCCTCTCAAGTCTGCAGACGTAGAAAAGTCAATAAGAAGGAACGAAAGCAGATTGGCGGAGCACGATGAGGGTGATGGGAGGAAGTACCGGTATGATGGGAGAAGTCGGATGTGGCGGAGGAGCAACGGAGGAAGGGGTGAGGAGGGCGGGGAGTCGAAGCCCTCGGCCTCGGAGAGCAGAGGAAGACCCACGGCAGGCTCGAGGCGAGAGAAGCACAAGCCATCATCCTCCTCCCGATATCTCGACCCACCCGCTCCGTCCTCTCGATCTGTGTGTGTGGCAGAAATCAAATTGGAGAGAATTGGCAGAACCGGCGGGGCATATGCCGACCATACATAATCGACTCGTGTAGTCAAGCAAGTCATCCCAACCGATTCGCCCTGAACAATATCAGGGTCACATCGCCTCTTCTCAAACGGGAGGCTTAGGTCCCACGGTATTGGACGCCTATCAAACCACATCACCCCTTCAAATTTCCGGGGTGACTCGATCCAACTGCACAATGCGCTGTTAGATGTGTGACTCATAACTTCGTCATGAATAACTGATTTTGACGAATCAACATTTGAATAAAATTGATGTTTTTTGTTTGGAATTTCTAATTGTATGATTTAAGATATACTTTTTCGCCAGTAAATTGGCATGTGTTCTTCAAAGGATGAGATTTCGACGATACAGGACAGAAATAAAAGGCAAGACTTGATGTGGATTGCACCTTAGCCTACAAAGCAAAAACAAGAATAAATTAGTTAGCTTAAAGGTCCAAGTAGTTCAACAGATTGTAATAGAACTTGGTAGCACCATAATATACACAAAACTTGCATGCATTTTTATGGACCAAAACAGCAAGATTGCTGAAACATACAGACACAGAAATATATTTCATTGAAGAAATTGTAAGGAGTAAGCAGTAACTGATGTATCAGGACATGATAGAATGATCCAATGGGATGAATGTTTTGCATATATTCATGTGGTCTTTTAGGAGACACAAAGGTTCTGCTGACTTCAGATATTGCTGGTGAAAGTATCCAAGATGATGACTTTAGATAGATGCATCTCTACAAAATGATGTTGGCACAGGAATCAAATTCAGTCATTTACATGCAACTAAACTATGTATAGATTCTCCAGAAAAACCATTAGTATGTGAAGGCAAATAACCAAGTCCAGTTCAAGCTTTGAGAATTACAAACAGAAAAGAAAATAGGATGAAAACTACTCAAAGAAACTGGAAAGAAATTAACAATGGTTACTAAAACTAAAACTACATGTTTCCATTCAGATCAGCAGATGGTTACATGAACATCATGATTGATAGTTTAACCAGCGTATATGATTCAGGTTACATGTATCGGTAGACTATGATAGATATACCAAGGCAGAAACAGAAGTACCACAGGCCTTGGTGAGATTTTGTATGACTCCAACCACTGCTCCAACAGAATCATATACCACAATACCTAAGAAAATAAAGTCAGAAAAGCTTCTCTACCTACCGAAGTCACTTAAATAGTGGTCCTCTTCACTTTCACTCTTCACCTACATTCACCAGCTCATACTCGACCATTGATAAATTGTTATCCTCCTTCACCCCAAAATTAGCAGGTTCAGCAACCTCGATACGACCCCACTTATCAACAGCCAGCCTCATGCAACCCTTGAACATGTCGATCTTCGCATTGCGGAGTATCACAGTAGCACCAGGTTTCAACAAGTCAACTGTCAGAGTAGAGAGTTCATTCATCATTGACAACATCAATCAATCACTGGGAAGCGAAAAGGATTGAAGAGCTTTCAAGCAATGGATTGCTGTTAAAGAATTATAGAGTTGTCCCTTCTAACCATTTATAAACTAACAAAATGCAAGCAGTGAGGCTGCGAACAGCTTTGTCTGAATTCCCATGTATACAAAAATTTTACTGTTGTGTATATTGTTTGCTCTAAAATTGCAACAATGAATTGCAGAAGTTGAAACTTCCAGGAAGCCAAAAAAGACATACAAGTCACTCTCAAAACAGGACCTAACTAACCATTTCATGAATGAAATCTCACCATCTACCTATTTACAGTAAACTACTTGGAAATATGCAACAACAATTTGCATAAGATGAAGCAACTACCAAACTCAGTTTAGGAAAAACATAAATGTTGTAGCTGTGTTCTACCAAAATTAGCTTTTTCAAGTGGCAATTATAGGAGCCGCAAAGCTAGTTCTATCGATAATTAACTTATTTGGAGGCAGATTATAGGCTCAAATGAAGAAGAAAACATGCCAGGTAGTAAAATCATGTCCTGATTAAAACTAGCACAATTCCTTCATCCTTCTTTCTGTAGACTGATTCTCACAAAGGCACTACCAGGGTGTTCATCTTTGCCTCCGGGACAGGGTACACACTTATGAGCAGGTGTACCAAATAGAAGTAAAATATGATTTGAAGCTTTGAATCTGTATACATTATTAGTTCTTTATTTCCCAAAAAAAATATATCAGGGCATATTCTACTGATAGATAATAAATGGAAGATAATTTCACATGAACTTTTACAGCTAACAAGTGGATAACAAACAGCAATGCATCCAGATGTTGTTGACCAGTCCAAATAATGTGAACTCGGAACTAAATCACATAGACTGCAACTACCTTGAAAATGTTATTGATAATTTGATATACAAAATGGAAACAGCAAGGTTATTGTTCATAAAACTTCTTTTTCATCATTTGACCAAGAATATTGATAAGTGGACTTGTTGTTTGAAGCATCAAAACATACTGAGAGCCTATTCAGAATCAATTGTTTCCATAAGATGAAACTCAGCAACATCATTAGTCATTACATTTATCAGATATCCATGGATGGAGTTAAGATGATGTAGAAGTTGCTGCAGGGAACCTGTACATGTCACAACTTGAGTCATGACTCAAGTCACAGCGAGCTGATGTAGCATAACGAGAACCAGATACATCATCCACCACCAGGAATGCCCTATGTATTTCCTGTAGCAGTCATGACAAAAGACATGACAGCTAACTCAGAAATGACAAAGCAGATATGTTGACAACCCAGCTTCATTCAGGTGTAATAGTTTTTTAAAAAAATGGAAGAAATTTCTATTACATCAAATGGCATACATAACGCTCATATGTGGACTCAACTTGAGATCCATCACTTTGTGCAACAATGCACTAACCAACTCGGATGTCCCCACGGAGACAATTAAATGATAATTTTACAAGTAATTTTTTTTTTGCTAATACCAGCTTTCTGAGCATTAAATCATGAGCTAGAAAAGAGTGTTGTTTTAATTACATGTATGCAATTATCTGTATAATGCTACATGTAGCTTGGTTAAAGGATGCAGGAGTCCTAAATAGTTTGACATGAATAGAAATACAAATAAAAAAGTAATTGATAGTCCAGCTATGTCCAGATGGTATTATCTAGTGTTAAAAGCATGAAAGACTTGTCACTAATTCTTACCATATTAGAACGATGATGTTGCTAGGTGTTCCTTTTCCATATGGCCAAAAAAATTAAAAAAAAAAAGATATGACAATGCATGATTATTGCAAGAAGTAATTATATTGAACCATATACGGAAAATACACAAAAATGGCATTACCCTTCTATCAATGAATACTAATTCAGTGCTCAACGCATATTTCCCTTCTCCGATTGCCATACACGGAAGATATCCAGAGACCTAAAACTATGTTTCTTTTAATATTATCTCCTTGCTCTTAATGATAGAAGATCGTACTTTCACCCTTACCACAAAACATAATCACAAAGCGATTAAGATAGGATCTATTACAATGTTTCCCCTTCGATGCTAAAGCAATGATCAGCAATCCCCCAGATCTAGAGAGCATACGGCAGCGATGATGAAGGAGAAAAGGTCGGGGATCGATAATACCTTGTTCGTTGCGGGCGGTGAAGACGACAGAAGCGGTGTCGTCACCGACGAGGCACTCGGCGACCCTGGTATGGCCGAGGTGGGAGGAGACAGCGCGGCCCTTCTGGACCACCGTGTTGGAGTTAACCACCTTGACGACGAGCGTGTGACCGCTGGTCCCCGGCTTCAGCTGGTCTACCTTGGTGAACACCGGCTGCCTCTTCGCCCCTTGCCCTTGCTGCTGCCCCGCAGTCGCCATTGACGCCCGATCTCTCGAGAATCCCCAACCCTAACAAGACTTCGAATCCCAAGACGAAAAGAGAATCAATCTATCTCGAGACGATACCGTTCATGGCTTTTCTTATAGCTGCGTACTAAAAAGAACTACACGCCTTCGCACTTTAAGATTCGACTTGATCAGATCGGACCATATCTTATTAGTAGAAACAAAGGCTTACCGAACTCGATTCGAGTCGGACCTGATTCATGTACCCAATAAACGAATTGAACTCAATCCAAGTCAAATTGACTCGACGTTAGGATTGAGGTGGACACCACTCCTTCAAATGACCCATATATCTGGACGATGGCTAATTCCCTATAATTAGCTACTTTTAGTATTTTGAACTCTACGCTTTTAAATTTATATATTTATGAAAGTGAAATATTTAACTCAATTTTGACTCATGTCATTTACTCAGTTAACAAAAATATCGCACATACTCAGTAGTCAATCAAAATAAGATACAGTCAACACATGCATGGTAATAAATCTTATGATATTTTCGTCAACAAAATCAAGAAGAATCGAGATTAGATGTTTCACTTACGTAAATACAAGAATTTCAATATAAAAAGCAAGATACAAAAAGTAGCTAATTATATGGTGTAATATATAATTAGCCCTTGGACAAAAGATAAAGACATGATGAATCTTCAAATCATGACAAGAATAATGAAAATAATGGTGTATCTATTGGTCATAAAAGTACTTTCAATGTGTTACACACCAATGCTATCTAAACAAGAAAATAGTGGCAGTGCCTCCTGCACTTTGAATACTCTTTCTGGGGTACTTAAAAGTATCTGAAAATACATTGTTTTGCAACACTAAGTTTCTGTCCCACAACAATGATTCATCAGTGAAATATGCAATGCCAAGTACACCTTGTTTTCGTGCAGTACAAACAATTCTAGAGATCAAGCAAGCATTTGAGTTGCAAGTAAGTCGAGGTTGCCATGGCACACATCAACTGGACAACCTGCTTCAGTATCTTGAACCAGTCCTGCCGGGAAGAACATTGTCCATAAATGCAACACAAATGCAGCAGGAGAACATCTCTTCATCGCTCTCTGCAGAATCATGCGGTAAGTTTATCCTTGAAGCACGCTCCAACTCTTCAGACAAAAATGATTTCGCGAGGCGTACATTTCTGTCTACTGGTGTCATCCCAATTAAACTGCCCAGAGTGATGCTGCGGTCTTGAAAGAAGGATCTGGTGGACTAATGTTGTCAATGAAAACAATGTAGTTAGTATACGCTACGAGTTCATTGAAATATGATGTCAACTGTGACTGAAAAAGGAGAAAAATGATGGCTCGGGCGTACCAGTGTGTCGAGGTCGGAGGAAGAGTACGAGGCAAAACTATCTGAATGCATATGATGTGAATTTGTTGATGTTGCAGCAGCTTGAAAGTTCCCCATGCTCAATCTGACGGTCATGCTCTCCAGTCCAAATGGCCAACCACCAGGCATGTTTTCAACCTGAAAAAGGTATGTCTCAGCATATGCAAGACCCTTTCACTTACATAAGCAATGTAGAGGTGAGATCTACACATTATTTTGCAACATTTAAGAACAATGTCTTTGGTTCAGTTCCAGATAAAGCATTAGTTTGCAACATTAGATAATCTAGGGAAAGTGCTCAGAACCTTTCCAAAGCATCCTGTCAAATTCATTTAGGAAATTAAGAAATGCCTGCATACCTATCAATGATGTGATGCATCAACTAAGTTGAATTATATTCCCTAATATCTCCATGCCTGATAATTGCATGACTTTATGCCATATCAGCAGGGAAGAGTGACAAGTAATGCAAGCGAAAGTTCCAGTGGCGCCATGAAATGTTCAGTGGTTCAAGATGTAATACATTTCAGCGATGAGAACTTAGAGAATATGGTTCATAAACCCAAACTGACAAGCAAAGAATATAAAGGAATTTGTAATAAAATTGTTGTTCCTAGAACTGAGTTTTAAGAAACAGATCATGCTTGTTGTGAACCTCAAATAAGCTTTTTAAGTCTTAATGGAAGACAAAACTAGCTTTTCATGCCCAAGTTTTAAGCTTTCAATTTCCATGCAAAGAGTTCTTAGATTTTCTAATCAGGCAAATACCAAGGGAACCTCTAACCTCGGACATTAAGAGGTGATTACTATGTAATAGTTTGGAATTGGAAAGAGAATTGCATCATCAGTCTCTTAATTTGGCCCTTCCTTTCAGTTTTGAAATTGGAAAATCTTACAAATATATTAGAACAGAAAAGATAAGACATTTTTTAACAGCTGCATAGTCTATTAAAAACCATAATTATGTATATGGAGTCCAGAGGTCATAACTTCACTATTCAGGAAAAGGAAAACTGCAAGTGTTAACAAGCATCTAAGATCAAATGTCCATTCTCACTCCATGACACCTAACACAAGAACAAACTAACAACACGATGTCAAGTTATTTTATAGCTGGTCTTCATCCAAAATGTATGCTACCACTTTCTCAAAAATTGCCTTCTCATTATTCGTGCATGCATTTAGCTGCTATTTTAGCAGTATCAATGACAATCTTTGAAATGAAGCAACTTGTTCTACTAGGCTTCCTTTGCTCAGTAGAAAATTGAGCAGCAATTAGAACTGATTCATGTATGCCTGGATTTCATGTTTCCTGTCATTCTTGAGACAATATGCTTTACACACTTTCCAAAACACTCCACTCAAACATTTTAGTAAATGAACAGGAGGAGCTCCACAAATCTTGTGTTTCCGAATCTCTTATAGCTATCTTGGTTTCAAGAATATGTTCGACAAAGGGTCAACGCAGATCACTCACTAGCAGAATAAAACAGAAGATACATCTAATTTGTGCTGCCATCAGTATAAAATTTGCCAACTATAGTTGGAATTTGGTACCAACAATACTTCTTGGTATTTAGAAAAGGATAATTAATGTCAACAATTACCTCAGAAAACAAATGGTTTCTTCACACAGATCAATTTTCACAGACACCACAAACTTAATACCTGAAAATATCTTAGAGTGCATCATGCTGTGAGAAGTCCCAAATCAAGCTGAAAAGAATTTTGGATCTCAGGCAAACATCCCGTTAACAGGAAGCTGTGAGATCAAAGGATGGGAAATTGACTGACCTGAGCAGCCATTGATGAACTAGCGGTATTCGACAGATGTCCCCAGAGAGTAGCTCGAAATCCTTCACCGTCGGCAGTGGTCGATTCATCGATGGGAAGCAACAGTAGCCGCAATTATATGGACGGAGAACAGATCCGAGAGAGAATTTTCCAAAAAAAGACACGACGATTGTCAGCTAGCCACCACGAGACAGTGCCGTGGGGGCTAAAACAGCGATAATAATGCGTGGCCTTCAGACCCGACCAAGCAAGTGACCCACCCGGAGACGGAACACAGATCATGAGGCAAGTCTCGTCTCCAATGATGGAAGACGAGTTGCTCCTTAGGTGGGGTAAGGAAATGGAGTGGGCATTCTTGGAGGAGATCACGCAGCAGCCAATCGATGTCGACTTTGACCAGCAGTTGGATGGATTTGATTGGTTGCCAGCCGACAGACGTTAAGGTGGACAAGACTGTAAATACAGAGCAAGGCTGCTGTTGACTAATCCAACAGTCAAAATTGGAGCCCAATGTGGTCACAGTTGGGCTCGGGGTTCGAATCTAATGGGCCATCATTTCTAGATTAAGCCCAACTTAAGCTCATGGGCCAAAACAAATAGCCCGACTCAACCTGTGTTATTCTGGAACCTTCCGTAGCCGCCGTGTGATCTCTTCTAGACGCTTCCTCAACCTCAACCTCCCAAATCTACCACAGGCGAAGTAAAGACGAGGAATCGTCGATTACTGTTACCAGAGAGAGGAACAGGAAGGAGAACGCAAGCCACGGTGGAGGAATCGAGGGGGAAGAAGAGGAGCACGCACTCTCCTCACCCCGGCCATCACCAGGACGAGAGAAGAGAGGAGGGACGGGAGGAGATGGGGGTGGATTACTACAAGATCTTGGGCGTGGACAAGAGTGCCGAGGACGACGACCTCAGGAAGGCCTACCGCAAGTTTGCCATGAGGTGGCACCCTGACAAGAACCCTAATAATAAGAACGAAGCCGAGGCCAAGTTCAAGCAGATCTCCGAAGCCTATGAGGTACCATTCGACCTCCCTCGTCAAAGATCCAATCTTGACGATCCAATCCCTTCTTTTGATTTTACCTTGCGAAAAGGTCCTTAGTGACCCCCAGAAGCGCGCCGCCTATGACCAGTACGGCGAGGAGGGCCTCAAGGGCCAGGTCCCGCCGCCGGGCGCCGGGGACACCACGTTCTTCTCAGGCAGTGACGTTGGTGCGGCCTCGTTCAGGTTCAGGAGCGTCGACGACAACTTCACGGAGTTCTTCGGGTTCCCAAGCCCGTTCTGCGGCGGCGCCATGGGCGGATCGTGGTTCCCTGGCGGGATGGGTGGTGTTACGGTCAGTAACTGTTCAGCCGTGGCCCTGAGGTCGTCGCGGCTCGGTTCGGGTCCGGAAGGTGGTGGTCAAAGGAGGGGGAGTCTCCTTGAGCCCGCTGAGTCTCCGTAGGCGATGAACTCCGAAGGCTTCTCACCTGCACCAAGGCCGGGTCGGGGTGCTCGACCCGACCCCTCCGACGATCAAGTTAGCGAAAGGTGCGGAGGGGGTTTTAGGAGGGGGAGAAACCTCCGAGTATTGAGTACGTTGAGAGCCCTTTTTTCCCCCTTTTGCTTAGGACTTAGGGGTATTTATAGAGGAGGTTAGCATTACCTGATTTGACCGTCTGCTGGGGTGAGGGGGTACCTCTGATGGCGTCTGACGCGGCTGCTGGGATCGCGTGGTGGAGCGGTTCGTGGCAGGGTATGGGCGAGGGGCAGGTCATTGTCCGGCCTGGTCGTGGTCAACCATGCGGGGTCGGAGGTCGCCTCTCAACAGCGGGAGTCGTCCGGGCGGGTCTAGTCAGCGTTATTGCTTTGGCCGGGGGCTGTCGTCACGGCGCGTCAGCGGCCCATTATTTTCCCTATCATATTCCCCCCCCGAAAAGGAGCCATGCGTCGGCGGGGAAGGGAGTTCGAGGCGTGGCTGCGTCCCTTGGTGTCGAGGCGGTCACGGGCGGCAAGCGGCCCAGTTCGTTTCACCTTGAGGGGGTTGTGCGGCGGAGGAGCGGGCTGACCGTGCTGGGGCGCCTTGGGCATTACGCGACCGAGGAGGTGGCCTCGGGCATTAAGCGACCGAGGAGGTGGCCTCGGGCATTAAGCGACCGAGGAGGCCTCGGGCATTACGCGACCGAGGAGGTGGCCTCGGGCATTAAGCGACCGAGGGGTGGCCTCGGGCATTAAGCGACCGAGGAGGCCTCGGGCATTACGCGACCGAGGGGGCCTCGGGCATTACGCGACCGAGGAGGCCTCGGGCATTACGCGACCGAGGAGGTGGCCTCGGGCATTAAGCGTCCGAGGTGGCCTCGGGCATTCCGCGACCGAGGGGGCCTCGGGCATTA